TTGTTTGAGAGACATTGTTGTGTGTAAATTGGCTGCTGCATTCGTCTACAAATACACCATCATTACACTTTACAGAAAGCTCAGTGAAGTGTTTTGAGATGTTTTGATGTGGTAAGCTCCTATTTCAAATGCAAAGATTATTATTATTATTAATTATTATTATATAGTACAACAGGTACATCTGATTACAGACTTATTGTAACTGGCCTCTCCACTTTTGTACCATAAAAGTATTAACCATGTATAAGCAATTAACATGGGAATCCTGAAATTAGACTTGGAGAAAGTCCATCCAAAACACACTATTGCATGACACAGAATGCTGCAGGTTCTCATGTCATGAATGAATTATACAATCAGATATCCGTATATTCTTTACTAAACCATTTGCACACTGAACATTTGTTTTAAATTTTAACCATATTTTTAAAATTAGCACAAAGGTTCCATCTAGTGGCAAATTTTGTGCAAAATGGTTTTACTTTCCTGCATCACAACTGTATGGCTCTATATAATTATTGGAATAGATGGGTTCGCTGGAGAAGTGAATATTGAGGATAATAAAACAATAAATGTGCTTATGATTCATGGATGATTTCTGTGGTTCTACTTTGGATATATGGGAAAAAATTTCTCAATATCTTCCTCAAGAAATGGCAGTAAATCTGCCTTTACCCAATGTAAGAGTGAAACTGAATTTAACTGCTGAGTGGCTCGCTGTTGCCTGCAATTGGATAGTTTCGAGTAACCAATTTAAAGGGCAATGTGGTAGATTTAAGTAGGTCAGAGAACATTGTTAAGTAACCAAAGGACAGTATTTGGGCAGCTAATCAGAGGATGGTGTGGTAGATTTACGTAGGGGAAATCCAGTTTCGTGCCCTTCACGCGGGGTAGCATCCCAGAGCACTTTTCCTCTTGTATCTGCTTTGCACCCTCCACTGGTTGTACATGTGTGAAGCAGCTGGGTGAGGAGAGACCAGGCTCAGCTGGGAAAGTCGAGTAGCCTAATGCTGCCAAGATCTTGGGTCGGTTACTGGAGAACAACCAGCTATGCAACCATCACCGTGACATAAGGAGGCAACCAGCGGGTTAAAAAAAATAATTGAAGTAAAACATTTTTTTGGGGGGTGTTATGCGGAGGGCAGTGCTATTGAATGAACACCTTGCTCTTAGAGCCAATACAAACTCGATGAGCCAAATGACCTTTCTGTGCTGGAAATTTCTGCCATTCTATGATTTAAGTAACCAAACAAAGAGCACCGAGGTAGATTTAAGTCAATAATCAGAGGGCAGTTTGAACCTCTAAGTGGACTCATGCGAGTATATATAACCACAGTAATAACTAACATCTCAGAGACCATCCTGGACACCAAGCAGGAAGGAAGGTAACCAGTAGCATGGTTGAATAATTTTGTCAATTTGTCTGAATAAACTGTGAGTTGCTATGAGTAACCAAGCTGAGATAAACCACTCTTAATAAAAAACATTACTAGAGTGTTTTGGACCAGTAATTGCGCATTACAGTGCCACAAATGATGTACAACTTAATGTTTAAGCTCTTTTTAAAGGAGCTGGCTTTTTTCAAGGGTAAAAAGTAGATGATTTACATTGACATGCAATAGTTATGGTTCAAATTAAAATTGTTCTCTATGCATATATGTTATCTTTCAAGAAGGCAAAAAAGGCAAACAGTATTATCTGAGGATGGGTGGATCCTATAAGATTTTTCATCCCTTGCATCGGCTTTACTCCTCTCAACTAGGAAAAAACAGTACTGAGATCGTTAAGATTCATGTTTACCATTATCTGTAAGTAAGAAATTAAAGTCTACCAACTGGCGCCTGTACCCCTCGGGGGAGGGTAAGTGAAATGGGGACACAAAGCAGGAAACTTGCCAGTGTTCCCAATGGCAAGCTGTGAGGGAAAAATTCCATCTAGGTTTAGATTTTTCTTCGCATTTCAATATGTGCAAAAATTGGCAAATTGTTTAATTCAGACTCAGCTTTGAACCTGATATTCTGTAGTTCTGAAATTAACTTAAAGAAAACTGGCTTTCAAATTAAAATTACATTTTAGAATTTCTAGCTGACCAGCTATCTATCATATACACTGGATGAGCCATCACTTTGTGCAGCCAAACATCAAAGGCATGAAACATTTTTATTTGGTTCTTGCTAGAAATGATGTGCTTCTTATTCCATTGACCTCCCCGGCTGCTTACTCAGTCTGAATCAGATGATGCCTAAAATTGGTAATATGTTTGACCCATAAGCAGAGTTTCAAAGCTTACCTCTGATTCATCCATAAGACCGTCGTCTTCTGATAGATACAATATAAAAGCAACTCTTAATCAGTTTGCAATCAAAGAAGTAAGTCTACTTCTTACTTGCTTCTTGTGCTAGTGCCTGAGGCTAACTTCCCCTTCTGCCGAGTTCTACTTGTTGGAAAACAAAGTGCCCAATGGATGACAATGTGAACCTGAACAATACTCAAAGTTACCTTGTACTCAGTTCCATATCATTTGTCAAGTCTCTTTTTTGAGATGCACTGTATTTTTGCAATATAAAATACTGTATAAATAGTATATTTAGAATAGGTTTTCTATTTATCACTGTGAAGAACAAATTAATTACGAACCAATTTTGACACCAATCTCAGTATCAAACATTCACAGGCATGGCTGAGACTGGGTACTGAATAAATCTGTTAACCTCACCAGAATGTTTCAATCTACTTTCCACGCAGACCACACTGCAGTGTTTACGATGCCAAATTTAATATCTAACTTGCAGTTGTATTCAACAGAATTCTAAACATTCATGTCCCTGCCAACTCTGTGAACCACTGGCATGCAGGGTGAAAAATGACAATATTTCTTCATCTGATCCCTGCACAGCAAACAGGGCAAGTGTGGAAAATCTGCAACTTGCAAGCCAAGAAACCAGAAGCAATTGGGTGAAGTGGCAACAATACAAGGGATCTAAAAGTGGTGCTGGCAAACACATTTAGTGACTGAGATTAGGGAGTTGCTTTGGATCTTTGTTGAAGTTAGGCATTGTTAAATTTATCCAAGTGTTCTCAGATTTGACAGAATCATCATTCGAATATTTGATTTATTGAATGTTACAGCAGAGAAACAAGCCATTTGGCCCATCAAGTATGAGTTGTTTTTTATTCTCCACATGAGCTACCTAATCTAATCCCGCACTCCTTCTCACCATTTCTTTTAACAATGCTCTTTTTCAAGTATCTAACTAATTCGCTTTCGAAAGAATTTATGGTCTCTGCTACAACAATAGCCTCTCTGTGTGCTAGAGAATTTAACTTTCCAACCATCCTCTCTGTAAACTGTTTTTTTTAATTTCCGTTTTAATCTGATATTATTTACCTAATAATCAGAGAATGAGTGAAACTGCCAACATGTGCACTACAACAACATTACATTTGAAAAGCGCCTTTCACGTTGGAAGGACGTCCCTAGGCGCTGGGCAGTCAGTGTTTCGAACCCGAGCTGGGGGTCAGGATCAGGGAGGATGGAGGGCATGGGGGGGAGGAGGGTGACTAAAGGCACGGTCTAAGAGGAGGGTCTTGAGACAGGTCTTGAAGGGAGCAATGGAGGCGGAGGGACTGCGGGATGGAGTTCCAGAGGGTGTGGGCAGAGTGGCTGAAGGCCCGGCCACCAATGGTATTGCTCGGTGGTCCCACAGCTACAAGGAACTGGACTGTGATAATTGCCCAAACGCATTTCATATGAGACATGTCCCAAAGGCACGGAGATGAACCTTAGGGTAAAAGGGCTGTGTGTCCTATCTTACCCTTTCCCCTGCTTCTCTCTCCGAAATACCTGCATGGAAGATACATCCAGGCACCAGCACAAGAAACATGAAAGAAGCATCACTGCTTGAGTTACAAACTGATTAACAGTCGCTTTGTTCATTGCCAAAAGCACAAATTACTTTATGGTTAATCCTGAGAAGCGTTTTGAGACGGACTCCCAGGGTGAAATGCACTCTATCAAATGAAGGAAACAAAATGTATAGTTTATTATTACCCACACGATACACGAAATGGCAGCAAGGATCTCGGATACGTCTGCAGGGCAGGTGACCGTCATTTGGCCACAACATGGAAATTGGAGTTCTGAACGACCCACCGGTGTAAGGCGGTGGCAGAGCCCGTCACTGCTGGGCAGTGATGACCTAGTGCTGGTCACCCTCGGCCTGATGATAGCGCTGGGCTCTGTCACTGCAGGGAGAGGGTGCGGTCCTGGTACACCAGACCCCTCCCCTCCCCCACCCCCACCCCCAGCTCGAGTCCGTAGCTCTGTCTGTCCGGCGCCTTGGGACGTCCTCCCGACGTGAAAGGCACTTTACAAATGCAATTCTGTTGTTGTCTTCCCCTTCGACCGGACCTGTGGTCACCTCTCCTCTCCCTGTGCCCCCACCCCGCCGGCTCGGTGTTGTGCACTGCCACTGGGTCAAGCACTGGGAGGCTACCCCGGGGAGGGGTGCCGTGTAAATGCAGTGGCCGGCCCTGTGCCAGGCTCTGCCACCACAGGGAGACGGTGTGGAGAGGGCGTCCCAGGCTCTATTCTCAGAGCCTTTGGACGTCCCCCCCAACGTGAAAATCGCTGCACAAATGTAATTTGGTGTTGTTGTTGTCCACCGCAGGGAGAGGGTGCGGTTGGCCGGTCCTGGTGCGGGGCTGTGATCACCGCAGGGAAAGGGTGCGGTTGGCCGGGGGTTGGTGCTGGGCTGTAATCACCGCAGGGGGCGGGTGCGGTTGGCCGGTCCTGGTGCGGGGCTGTGATCACCGCAGGGAGAGGGTGCGGTTGGCCGGGGGCTGGTGCGGGGCTGTGATCACCGCAGGGGGCGGGGGCGGTTGGCCGGGGGCTGGTGCGGGGCTGTGATCACCGCAGGGGGCGGGTGCGGTTGGCCGGGGGCTGGTGCGGGGCTGTGATCACCGCAGGGGGCGGGTGCGGTTGGCCGGTCCTGGTGCGGGGCTGTGATCACCGCCGGGGGCGGGTGCGGTTGGCCGGGGGCTGGTGTATGGCGGCGGTGGCCCTGGTGACCGTGTCGCTGGCGCTGCTCGGCGCGGGGCTGCTGGTGGCCCGGAGGCTGCTGAGGGTGGGGCCGGGAGGGCGGCGGCGGCGGGTGACGATGGCGATGCCGATGCGCGGGAAGACGGTGATCGTGACGGGCGCCAACAGCGGGATCGGGAAGGCGGCGGCGGGGGAGTTGGCCCGGGCCGGGGCCAGGGTGATCCTCGCCTGCAGGGACCCCCGCGCCGCACAGGAGGCCGTGGCCGACATCAGGCGACTCACACCGGCCGGAGAGCTGCTCCTCCGCCGCCTGGACCTGTCCTCCCTCAGCTCCGTCACCAGCTTCTGCCAACAAGTGCTGCAGGTAACCGCCCAACAGCCACTCCGAGTAACCGCCCAACAGCCACTCCGAGTAACCGCCCAACAGCCACTCCGAGTAACCGCCCAACAGCCACTCCGAGTAACAGCCACTCCGAGTAACAGCCCAACAGCCACTCCGAGTAACCGAGTAACAGCCACTCCGAGTAACCGCCCAACAGCCACTCCGAGTAACCGCCCAACAGCCACTCCGAGTAACAGCCCAACAGCCACTCCGAGTAACAGCCACTCCGAGTAACAGCCCAACAGCCACTCCGAGTAACCGAGTAACAGCCACTCCGAGTAACCGCCCAACAGCCACTCCGAGTAACCGCCCAACAGCCACTCCGAGTAACAGCCCAACAGCCACTCCGAGTAACCGAGTAACAGCCACTCCGAGTAACAGCCCAACAGCCACTCCGAGTAACAGCCACTCCGAGTAACAGCCCAACAGCCACTCCGAGTAACCGAGTAACAGCCACTCCGAGTAACAGCCCAACAGCCACTCCGAGTAACCGAGTAACAGCCACTCCGAGTAACAGCCACTCCGAGTAACAGCCCAACAGCCACTCCGAGTAACAGCCACTCCGAGTAACAGCCACTCCGAGTAATATCCCAACAGCCACTCCGAGTAACAGCCCAACAGCCACTCCGAGTAACCGCCCAACAGCCACTCCGAGTAACTGCCCAACAGCCACTCCGAGTAACAGCCCAACAGCCACTCCGAGTAACAGCCCAACAGCCACTCCGAGTAACAGCCCAACAGCCACTCCGAGTAACAGCCACTCTGAGTAACCGCCCAACAGCCACTCCGAGTAACAGCCAACAGCCACTCCGAGTAACAGCCACTCCGAGTAACAGCCCAACAGCCACTCCGAGTAACAGCCCAACAGCCACTCCGAGTAACAGCCACTCTGAGTAACCGCCCAACAGCCACTCCGACTAACAGCCCAACAGCCACTCCGAGTAACAGCCCAACAGCCACTCCGAGTAACCGCCCAACAGCCACTCCAACTAACAGCCACACCGAGTAACAGCCAACAGCCACTCCGAGTAACAGCCACTCCAACTAACAGCCACACCGAGTAACAGCCACTCCGAGTAACAGCCCAACAGCCACTCCGAGTAACAGCCCAACAGCCACTCCGAGTAACCGCCCAACAGCCACTCCAACTAACAGCCACACCGAGTAACAGCCAACAGCCACTCCGAGTAACAGCCACTCCAACTAACAGCCACACCGAGTAACAGCCCAACAGCCACTCCGACTAACAGCCACTCCGAGTAACCGCCCAACAGCCACTCCGAGTAACAGCCACTCCGAGTAACCGCCCAACAGCCACACCGAGTAACAGCCCAACAGCCACTCCGAGTAACCGCCCAACAGCCACACCGAGTAACAGCCCAACAGCCACACCGAGTAACAGCCACACCGAGTAACAGCCCAACAGCCACACCGAGTAACAGCCCAACAGCCACACCGAGTAACAGCCAACAGCCACACCGAGTAACAGCGGCCACACCGAGTAACAACCAACAGCCACACCAAGTAACAACATCAACACCGAGTAATAACCAAAAGCAACACAGAGTAACAACAGCCACACCGAGTAACAACAACAACATAGGACAACAATAGCAACACAGAGTAACAACCAACAGCAACATACAGTAACAACAACAACACAGTAACAACCGACAGCAACACACAGTAACAACAGCAACACAGAGTAACAGCAGCAACACTGAGCAACAACCAACAGCAACACACAGTAACAACAGCAACACAGAGTAACAGCAGCAACACCGAGCAACAACCAACAGCAACACAGAGCAACAACAGCACCACAGAATAACAACTGCAAAGCAGAGTAACAACAGCAAAACACAGAGTAACAACAGCAACACACAGTAACACCAGCAACACAGAGTAACACCAGCAATTCAGAGTTATAATACAACAACAAAATGACATGTGTAAAGCAGGATCGAAGAGGAGGGTCTTGAGATGGGTCTTGAAGGAGGGAACGAGCGGAGGGACTGCGGGACGGAGTTCCAGAGGGTGGGTGCAGGGTGGCTGTCGGCTGTCCACCAGTGGTGAAGCGAGTGAGGCGGGGGCCGTGAAGCAGGCCGGAGCCCGCTGAGCAGAGGGAGTGAGCGGGATGGTAGGGGTTAGCAGGTCACAGAGTAGAGGGGAGCAAGGCCATGGAGGGCTTTGAAGCTGAGGACCAGGATCTTGAACTGTATCCTCTGTGTGATGGGAAGACAGTGGAGTTGGGTGAGGATGGGGGTGATAGGGTCGCGGGGCCTGGTGCGGGAGAGGACACGGGCTGCAGAGGTCTGGATGATCTGCAGTCTGTGGAGGGAGGAGTCGGGGAGGTCGACAAGCAGTGAGAAAGGAGCAGGAAACAGGTTCGAACGTGTGGAAGGAGGAATGGATAGGGGCCGGGTGTGAGTGGGAGATGGGGAGGGGGTAGTGGACGGAAGGGCCGAGGCAGCTGAGCGGATTCCCTCAACTTTAGTTTCGAGGAAGTCCAACATCGCCTCGCAGTTGATGTTGGAGGAGAGGATGGGCGAGGCGTGGAGGGTGGGCGGAGGAGCCGGTTGGTACTCGAGAAGAGGAGCCTGGGGTTGTCTTTGGACTCCAAGATCTCTTGGTGTAAAATGACGATTTAGCGGAGGCGAGGGTGGAGCAATAAGATTTGGTAAGGTTTAGCCAAATCTGCCGATGGACCGTTATATTGGATTTGAGCCAGGTGCTCAAATCCACATCTCAAATAGCAACACAGAGTAACTACGGCAACACACAGTAATAACGGCAACACACAGTAACAACAGCAACACACAGCAACAATAGCACAGCAACACAGAATAATGATCACCAGACTAACAGAGTAATAATAGTCAGAGTAATAACCACCAAACAGTAACAGAATAATAGGCATAGTAACAGAGAGTAATAACAGCCATAGTAACAGGGAGTAATAGCAACTAGAGTAACAGTAACAGAGAGTAATAACTAGCAGAATAATATTAATAATCAGCAGAGTAATGGACAGTTAATAACCACCAGTCTAATCGTAACACAGAGTAATAGCCATTAGAGATTGATCAACACCAGAGTAACAGTAACAGAGTAATAACCACCGGAGGAATAACAACCATAGAAATAACTACCAAAAGAATAGTAACAGTAATAACAATCCAATCAATATTTACCGGGGATGAACATGCACCTGGAGGAACAATAACAAAGAGATATAGTAATAATATAATTATAATAAAATAGTAACAAAGAGTAACAAAAACAGATAAATAGTAACAGCAATAACAAGAGTAATAGAGTAATAACAACAGAGTCATAGCAATAGGAAATAATAACAACAAAAAGTAATAACAACCAAAGAGTAATAGTAACAAGGAGTAATAAGAGCCAGTCATAGAAATGGGGACTAATAACAACAGAAAGTACTAACAAAAGAATAATAGTAACAGGAATACCAACCAGAATAATATACAGAGAGAAATACTCAGTTACTACCTCACCTGAGCAATGATAGCATAACACTATAATTATAAAGAGTAATAATATGTGCAATATCACACGTAATAATGAGTAAAATGATATTATGAATTATAGTATCATCGATTTATGGTAAAATGGAGTCACACATAACCCAGGTAATAACTGGAGGAACAAAATAGCCTGAGTAATAACCCAATGAAAGATGGAGTAATACCCGATAATATTAACCCATATAGTATAACAACAACCAATTTACATTTCTATAGTGCCTTTGATGTCGGGATGACGTCCCAAGGCGCTGGACAGTCCTGGGTTTGCAGCAGAGCTGGCGGTTGGGACACAGTAACCTAGAATACTAATCTATAGTATTAGCTGGACAACAAAGGTGACAAACGCAAAGACAGAGTGAAAGACAAAGAACAGATTCATGGGGAGCCAGGATAGGCATAGATGGGGGGACTGAGACTACTACCCCATGAAGGGTGCTATATAAGTGTAAGTTGTTGACTAAAACAGGAATTGAGGGAGAAACAACAGACACTCGTTCATAAATTATACTCAACACTTGATACCAATAGCTCCCTCCTCAAGTAAAACTCACATAAGTCTGATCTGTATGATCTGAATAATTGGCTCAGTCATACATCTCGTCAAAATCGTTCAACTCGTAACGCTGCTACCGCGCTTGTCGGATGCAAGGTCAAACCTTTGTTTCCCGCGCATAACTAAAACAGAACACATACCTCCCTTTATAATTAAGACAATTAAGTGGACCCTTAACATCCCACTACAACTCTTAATAATTTACACATTTGTATCATCTCCCAATGCAAGAAAAATGCAATAAAATCAGGGAGTCAACAGGAACATTCAAATAAAACATTTATAGATAATAAAACAGATTAAAAAGTAAATGAAAATGGTTGTTCCGGAAAATGATGGGTCTGAAAATTTCCATTTTTAAACCTTGCCTTAATGTCACTGGGCAGTTCAGTACTTGTGTATTTGTTAGGTGTAAGTTATATAAAATCCGCCTTAATATATAACTTTATATGAGTCATACATAATACAATTTATGCAAGTTTGACATAACTCATACTTTGCATCAGTCATATTAAATTATGGTCCAACTGATACTACTGTACAAGCCTTCCTAAACTCTCCTTCCTATTGCCCTTTCTAGGATGGGCTAATTTCTCACTAATATAATTGTAGAATCTATCTGGAATGCAATTGGATGAATTTCACATCACCGACAGACTTAGTTTGTTCTACATCGACCTAGGTCTTGTAAAAGAGTTAAGTCAAGAGTAAAATGAATGTTTGGCACCAAAGTGGTGACTTTAGCAGTGGAAGAGATTGCAAAATCATCTTGATTTGTGTTTTTGAAGTACAATTTTCTGGTATCAAAAGCAGCTAAATGTTTTAGCAAATCCTTTAAATTCCCATTAAATGCTAGAAATTCACAGCAGATCAATCAGCACCTGAAAGAGAGATAGGATAGCATTTCAGACATGACCTCTCATCAGAACTGGCAAAATGTTCTATCCAAACTGGTTACCTACCTTTCTTTTACGATGGTGATTGATCTACTGTGGATTTTCAGCAATTCTGTTTATAATCCTCTTGATTCCCCTACTTTATGTTTTGTTCATTTTTTGATTCCATCTGTTTTCAAGCCTCACCATTTTCCATCTCAGTTACAGTGGATGTAAATCCCCTTCATTTGAGACTGATGATGTCTGAGCTTTAAAGTGGAGGCCAATCCATCTCATTTCAGCAATAGCTTGGTGAGCCCCTTCCTGTTTGGATTCTCCACATCACCCTTGTTCCTGTTTTCCAGAAATTATTGAAGGAAGAAAAAATGTGCGTTTTTAAAGCACTTTATCATGTCAAAACGTCTCCGAGCCCTTCAAAGATAATTACTGTTGAGTATTGTGATTGTTTTTGTAGGCATATGCAGCAGCCATTTGCGCCAGCACATTCCCACAAGCAGCCATTGAAATGAATGACCAATTATTCTGGAGGACTGTTGACCAGGACACTGGGTGAAACTTATCTTTTCAAATAATGTCATGGGATTTTTAAATATTTAATTTAATCATTTTTAATAACCTATTTTTAACGTCCACTTGTTTCAATGTCATCTGAATAAAGACTCCTCCAGTATAGCAGGATCCCGAGAGTAATGAACTGCCAGCCTAATTTATAAATTCAAGTCATGACGTAGGGCTTGAACCCCCAACTTTCTGGCACAGAGGTAAGAATACTACAAACTGGTTGCAGCATTCAGTTTTTTAAATGAGTATTGGTTTACTTTTTCTCTTTCACTTATCGTCTAAAACAGTTTTAGAAGATCCCTTCAATGATATGCTCTCAAGACTGAAAAGCCCGAATTTATTTAGGTGTTCCTTATAGAATAATTCTAATACTGTGATCAGCCTTATTGTTCTCCGCAGCAATCCTATAGGGTTTGGCAGCTTCTTTGTGACTTAGACCTGGATTGAGTACTCTATTCAGTACAAGGCCTGACCTGAGCTCTGTAAAGCTTGGCCATAATGTCTTGGGACTCTGAAGTCAACTGATTTGACATTGAAATCCAGATATTGGCATCATTCTGTGAATGAACTTGGTAAAACCAGAGACAGATGTATGAGTTTTGCCTAGGAAGATTGGAAAACGACAGATGAAAAGCAAGCCATTCATTTTACATCTTTGACTAGACTATATACTTTAAAAATTTACGCAGGCAAACTGCCACAAGTTTTCTCTGACTGAAATATTGCAAAATATACTCTTAGGAACAAATATTAGTCAGAGGCTCTCAAACTCTTCACCCTTTAGAAATGCAAAGTGATGGCATATTATGTAACCTTCGAACTGACAATGACAAAGCTTTTTTGAATTTAAGGAGATTATTGTCTGGCAAGAGAGTTATGGTGCCAAATAACTGATGCTTGTTGAATCTGTCACGGTTTTGCGATAACTATTTTAAAATGTTTTCAGATATAATCTAGCTTGTTAGGTTGTTAGTGAAATTATACCATGCACCAATTCCTGATACGTGAGATATCCACGTGAACTTTTTGTCAAAGAATGTATCAGTGTTTTTAACATTATAAGGTTTCAGAGTTTCTTTTACTTAATTGTTTTGTTTTCTCTTGCCCCCTCTATTCCTGGCATCTTATTTGGTACACTTTAAACAACATGTAGTCTCACAGACCACATGTTCTAGAATCAGTAGAAGGCCTTTTATGGTTATCTTATGGTTATCTTCATTCTCATATTTATAAATCAGTGTCTTTAATATAAAGACAACCAACAATATATTTTCTTGTTTTGCCACTTGTTAATGGGGGAAAGGAATTCACACATTTTTTTGAAAAGGCATTGGGATTAAACACATTAGGGTTTGTCCAATTATTTTAGGATCACTGCAGTATTTATTACAAGAAATTATAGACATATCTTTCACCTTTATCAGTTGGATGGATTTAAGATTATTACTACCATGTTTGGGCCTTGAATACTTTCAAGCCCTTATGTTCCTGAATGGAGCAGGTCATACTTCATATAATCATTTGCATCAGGGAATTTCTCCCGGTAAACCAACCAACAATTGTCATTCACTTCATGGCTGTTTATGGAACATTGCTGTGCGCAAATTGGCTGCAGTGTTCACCTGCAAATACATAACTACTGCACTCACTCCAGTAATTTCCATGACGAGTTTCAACGACAGATGTTATATCAAATACAAGGATTACTATCAGTTTCCTGTTAATGCATTTTTTCTAGTGAAATGTAGATGTGCATTTTTTTCAAAATCAATAATCTTTCCATTGCAATGCTGCCTTTTACTTATATCAGTTTAAACTTTTACTTTTTCTGAAATAATAGTTGATTTCATATACTAGCTGATTTTTCTGCAAGAAATTTAGATAATAAGAAGCACTCAGAATATGTGCACTCAGAGGTACATCTTACCCTGTGGTGAAACTTTTTCTGTGCAACACTATACAAATTTGAGCAGTACAGCAGGTGTGCAGCAAGTATAACAGCAACATTACTGTCACCATTTGTGCATCTTTTTAGTTATCGTGAAAAGATGGCAAGAGCATTGTGTGACATGCTGGAACAGTGATTTGAGCCAAAGCGATTTTATATATATGTGTGTGTATATATATATAAAAAATTAAAACTGCCGTTAAAATAATTAACACATTTTGTCTCTTTTTGTTGTCTAATCATGGTAAATAATAGTGGATCTCTTCCTCCTCCCTGTTTCCAGGAAGAGACGAGGCTTGATGTGCTGATCAATAATGCTGGAATCTTTCAGTGCCCTTATATGAAAACTGAGGATGGTTTTGAGATGCAGTTTGGGGTGAATCACCTGGGACATTTCCTGCTGACTAACCTCCTTCTTGATCTCCTCAAAAGATCAGCCCCAAGCAGGATCGTAGTGGTGTCTTCCAAACTCTACAAGTATGGTGAGATCAACTTCGATGATCTGAATAGCGAGAAGAACTATAACAAGAGTTTTAGTTACAGCAGAAGCAAGCTGGCCAATATCCTGTTCACTCATGAACTGGATAAACGTCTGGTGGGCACTGGTGTAACTGTTAACGTGTTACATCCAGGCATTGTGCGCACAAACCTGGGAAGACATATTAATATCCCTATGCTTGGAATGCCACTCTTCAAAATGGTTTCCTGGGCTTTCTTTAAAACTCCATTGCAAGGAGCAGAGACACCACTTTACCTGGCTACAGCTCCTGAAGTTGAGCAAGTGTCCGGGAAGTATTTTGGAGACTGCAAAGAGGAGGAATTGTTGCCAAAAGCAAAGGATGATGCAGTTGCAAAGAAATTGTGGGAAGTCAGTGAAAGAATGGTGGGATTGATTTAATTTGATAACTTGATGCCAATAATCCAATGTGTTAACTTGAATTCAGATATTAACTTTGTGTGAATTGTGGTTTTAAGTGAATAAGAACATCTATATATATATAATTGTTAAATGCAGCCAGAAAAAAACTGTTTCTTTCAAGTTGAAAATTCCACATCAGGATGTAATAAAATAAGTGTTAACATGATTTACCTGACATTGAATGTTTTCAAGCAAATAAATACTAACTTTGAAACTTAGTGTTGGAGTCTGCCCTTTTATATGTTTGTTAAGTTGTAGGAATAGATTCAGACATCTAAATTGATTTGCGCTCTTTCAGTTGGTCAAAACATCTCCCGCACTAAATACAACAACAACTTGCATTTATATAGGGCTCTCCACGTAGGGTAGCGTGTCAGAGCACTTAAGAGTGGTGGAGCCTGACTCCTAGCCGGGGGAGGGGGAGATGGCCGTAAGCACGGTCAAAGAGGAACGTTTTCAGGCCGGACTTGAAAGAGGGGAGAGGGGTCAAGGCGAAAGGATTGAGGGAGAGTGTTCCAGAGTTTTGGAGCGTAGTGACAGAATGCGCGACCTCCGATGGTGCGCAGGAACGAGCAGGAAGCCGGTGCCAGTAGAGCGGAGGCGCCGGGTGGTGGATTGGGAGTGAGGAGGTTGGAGAGGTAGGGAGGTGTCAAGGGGTGAATGGATATGAACACAAGTGTGAGGATCTTGAAGTCGATCCATTCGGTGATGGGGAGCCAGCGGAGGCTGGCCAGAAGTGGTGAGGTGAGGGTATGGAGTTTGGTGCGGGTCAGTATGTAGGCGGCAGAGTTTTGAATGAGCTAGATCTTGTGAATGGTGGAGTTGGAGAGACCAGCGAGGAGTTGCGTTGGAGTAATCCAAGAGGGATGTGATAAACGCATGCATGAGGATTTCGGCTGCATTTGGGGGGTAAAGTGCAGTTGGAGGTGGGCAATGTGGCGGAGTTGGAAGAATGCAGTTCTGGTTTGGGACTGGATTTGGGGGAGGAAGGACAGCTGGGGGTCGAACCGGATGCCTAGGTTGCGCAATGGTCTGGTGAGTCTGAGGGAGAGCCCAGGTAGGTTGAGGAGTTTAGATCCGCAGGAACTAACTTCTTTATAACATTAACATTATATAGTTGTAATGTGATTATACCTTACCAGTTCTGGCCTATAGATTCAAACAGGCTACCAAGAAGATAATGCCTTGCAAGTTTAAAAAAATACAGGACGTCTGAACGACAACAACAAAATTGCATTTGTAAAGCGCCTTTCACGTTGGGAGGACGTCCCAAGGCGCTGAACCGTCGGACCCGAGCGTGGGGGAGACAGGGTTGTGATCAGGAAAGCAGCGAGGGTAGGAGGGCGGCTGAATGTACGATCGAAAAGGAGGCAAGAGAGGGAACAAGGCGAGGGAATGGGATGGAGTGCCAAAGAATGGGGGCAGAGAGGCTGAAAGCTCGGCCGCTGATGGTAAGGCAGCTCTGGCGGGAGACCTGGAGCAGGCTGGAGGGAACGGGCAGGTTGGGAGGGAGTCGGCAGGTCAGAGGTAGGAGGGGGCAAGGCCATGGAGAGCCTTGAAAGAGGACAGTGATTTTGAATTCTATCCTCTGAGGGATGGGGAGCCAGTGGAGTCGGGCAAGGGTGGAGGTGATGGGATCACCTGGTGCAGGAGAGGACACGAGCTGCAGAGTTTTGGTGATCTGCAGCTTTTGGAGGGAAGAGTTGGGGAGGGCGACAAGGGGGAAGTTTCTGTAGTCGAGCCTTGAGGTGACGAATGCGTTTATAAGAGTTTCGGTGGCCAGAGGGGTGAGGCAGTGGCAGAGTCGGGCAACGTTGCGAAGGTGGGGGAAGGCAGAGCGGGTCATGGCATGGATATAGGGGAGAAAGGACAGTTGAGGGTCAAACAAGACACCCAGATTCCTAACTGGCTTGGTGAGGTGGACTACATCCGTGGATGCTGATGGTGCCAGTGCTTGAGGTGCGAAAGCTCTGGCGTGAGCCAATCAGAAGGGCCTCAGTCTTGCTGACATTCAGCTGTAGAAAGTTGGTTCTTATCCAGGACTTGATGTCAGGCAGACAGTTTGTCAGGACGTCAGTTGTCCTGGAATCGAGGGTGGAGGCAGAGAGATAGAGTTGGTTGTCATCCGCGTACATGTGGACGTCTGCAGATGATGTCACCAAGGGGGAACGTGTAGAGGTTGAAGAGGAGGAGACCAAGGACAGCCCTAAGGAACACCACACAAGACTGCCGGTGCTTGAAGAGAAACTGTTCGTGGAGACAAATTGCACATTGCATCTGGTGGAGGGACTGGAATTGGAACTTAAGACGGCCACTGAATCATAACATTACAGTAGTACACAAGCAGGATACTTCTGAGCATGGGTAATTGAATGCTTAAGGCAAATGTGTGGCTAAGGGAGAGAATTTAAAGTTTTTTTTATATGCAGTGTAATATAAATACACTACACTGTCAAAATAAGAACTGTATCTCCGAACTCCTCAAACCCTACCAACTTGGCTGCTCCCTCCTCTCAGCAGGCCTTTCGTCACCTTCCCACCCCTCCCCCTGGCTCGGTCCTGGGATCCTAAACTGTAAAACGCTCTGAGACGCCGTCCGGCGTGGAGGGCGCTATATAAATCCAAGTTGTTGTTGTAGGAGGCACCGGCTTGCTTCATGGATCTGCTGCACCATCAGTGACCGGGCTTTCACTATGCCTGCCCCCACAGTCTGGAACTCCATCCTGTAGTCCCTTTGACTCGCCCTTCCCTTGCTTGCATCAGGGTCCGCCTCAAGAGCTTCCTCTTTGATCACGCTTTTGACCACCTTTCCCTCTTCACTACCCCACCCCATTCCCCCCAGCTTGGGTAAAAATGGACAGTCCAGCACCTTGGGATGTCCTTCCGACGTGAAAGACGCGATGTAAATTTAACATTGCATTATCGGAGGTGCCGTCCTTAGTGTAAGGCATTAAACTAAGTAGCCGCCTAAGTAGCTTGTTTAGTTGGACGTTAAAGATCTCATGGCACTATTCGAAAAATGCTGGGTTTGGCTGCACATTATTTACACATCCTGTGAAGCACTTTGGGATGTCATCCTGACATTAAAGGTGCTGTCACAAACACAAGTATTATCTTGATTACATGTTGATGAAGCTGTTGTAACGTTCAGTATTATTCAAGGCCTTATCTACTTGTAAAGGCTTTCCACAATTTAGACAAACCTGCTCTCCTACGTGACCTTTTTTTTCTTTGTAATGCTGAAGTCTGTGTCGACAGGGTATTTGACATTGGGGCAAAGCCATCGTGGCTAAAACTAAATTCTGTCATCACTTTATCCACATTCATTAATTTCCAACAGAGGTCGCTGGATACAAATAAGGTGTGGAAACCCCAGCTGATTGTCCCTCTCTGTTTGAGATTCTTAAGACTAGTTCTGGAACCCACAAAGCTGATTCCACACAGAAGAGATGAAACCTGAAATCTTCCGGTTCTGTGTGACGTACAAATTTACATTTATATAGTGCCTTTCATGTTGGGAGGACGTAGGGCCATATTATGTGGTGTGTTTATAATGAACTAATTTGATGAGTAAACAGTTGATTAACTGTTGTTCAGTAAATGTTGCAGCAATGTTATGTTTGTCTGGAATGAGTTTTGAAACACTTTTAGTTTCCTGTTTCAGTTTTCCATATTCAATTTTCACCAGTTCTTCCAAAAACCCTTGCACATTATAATTTGTATTTGGCCTTATTTTGTAGAGATAGTAGGAGCCAACTAACAAGTTTTACAGAAAGTGATTTTGTAGTTTGGGCTGTAAACGCAGCAAAACATTGATTTGTGTAAAAAAAATCCCCACTTGTTAATGAGAGCACACAAACTGTGTTAACAAAAGTGAACTTAATAGTTTCAGACGGAAACTGGTTTTGGATTTCCAATTTGTCTTCACTTTACAAAAATGTCCCTTAAGTGGAATTTATAGTCCCAGTAATTGACACAGCCACACTTGGATGGGAAGTTGTCAATTTAAAATAAGTACATGTGTGAGTGAAAAATCATTTTTTTCTGTTTTGAATTCCTTTCATGGTGTTGAATTTGGCAAGTCTGGTATTTTTTACTTTTCGCTTTTGACTAGTGAATTCCCTGTGCAGCATTCAATATGTTTTCCAAAACATAATGTAATACTGATGCGTGATGTTCTTTAGCAGGAGTCAACATTTATTGTTCAAGGTTCTGGATGCAGAACCAGTATTTCTTAAATGTTAAAGAGCTTGACCTCAGTTATTGATCCATACTGTTACCGCAATGCACACTGCACACCCATACCACATGTTTGGTATATTAAGTACACATTTAAAATTGTTATGCATCTTGACAGATTTTGTTCATTGTAAATGTACTAACATTTACTACATACTATAACTCAAGCATTATTTTGTACATGACAGAACTCGGTGGGGGGGCGAGCAGAAACCTTGATAACTTAATTAAAGAAAAACAAACTTTGTGTGCCAGCCAACAATGCCAATCAAGATATATAATGTATGATAATAATTTCATATAGCACCTTGTCATATCACATGGAGTCCTGTAGCTCAGTGGTTAGAGCACTCGACTCGCAAGCTAGAGACCTGAGTTTGATTCCCGGCAGGGTGAAATATTGGGCAAGTTTCCTTACTCTATACACCTCTGTTTACCTAGCAGGAACCCGGTTGTTAGTCGATTGGCGGATCGCTTTTCCGGGGGTAATAACTACTTGAAAAAAAATTGGTCACTTCAATCCACGACTGTTTGTGGGATACTGCTGTGTGCAATTGGCTGCTACGTTTCGCCCGCAAAACAGTCAATTCACTTTACAGTATAATAATAATAGTATATTCTGTGAAGTGCTTTGAGGCATCTCGAAGACATGATAAAGCGCTATATCAAATGTACGGATTATTATTATTATCATTGAGCTGTCTCAAAATGATAAACAGAGAAAAGTGAAAAGTGGTGTGACTGTATTTTGTGGGCGAATGTGGCAGCCAATTTGTGCAATCAGTACCCTAAAACCAACCATGGAATGATTGACCAATTTTGTTTGGAAGATTGTTGACCGGACACTGGAAATAACTCCCTTTTCATCGAACAGTGCCATGGGATCTTTAACATTCACCTAGACAAGCAGACAGGGCATCAGTTTAATGTCAGATTTGAAGGATGGCACCTCTGACAA